TATCATTCCTATCATTTTCTCTCTATCTTTCCCTATAAAATTCTCTGTTTTTATTCTTGTTCGGTAATCTCTTTCTCTCTTTCATTACTTTCCCGCCAACACACACTCACTTCCGGTTGAAGATCGCTTCCCGGCACGTTTTATGTTCACACTGCACGCTAGATCGGTCTGGGGGCGATTTAGGAAGCGAACCGGTCCAGAAGACCACATTGCGAGGTGATTTCTGCATCGGTCCAGAAGATCGCTTCCTGGACCGATTGTCTGTTCACACTCGCAGTTAGACCGATCTAGCCTGAATCGGTCTAGGAATGAGTGAGAACGGGGTCTAATATCTTCGAGAATCATCAATCAGCGGCCTTCGGTTTTTTCCGAAATGCTATCTGAGAAAAGTTGGACGAACTCCCAGTTTTTACCAATCGATGTTTTAATTCCATATAAAATTAAATAGAATCATGATAATAATTGTGAAAATAGTGTTGTTTAGTGAACCTCGGGATAGACCCCGATACTGTCAAGACAAATTTCCATGAGAACTCGAGAAACTTTCCGATTCATTAGGCCCATGTTTTACTCAATTGTTGGTCTTTCCTGCTTTGAAATAGGAAGCTGTACACGAGGAGAAGCATCAGGCGTACCGCAAGGCCCATCGTTCGGTCCCATTTAGCATCATATCTCATTCAGGTGACGTCACAGTGGCACGTGATTGTAAGGGGAAGATAGCAGAAACTAAGGTACGAAAATCAGTTTTGTCCTTAAAGAGGAAGTCCATCCTGGTAGTTGAATTTAATGGAAGCAGAAAAATGGAAAAAAGCAGATCAGTGAAAGTTGAGCGAAATCCAATTAAGATCAAGTTATGAATATTTGAATATATGAACGATCGTACACCGATTGGCAACTATAAAGTGACGTATCTTGCGAGATCAATTCTCATTTGCTCTGTATCAAAAACCAAAATCAGAACTTTCTATTTTTCTTACATACAATTGTAAACATATGTGCACCCTAAGTACAATTATTTCAAATATGTTTCTATACACTCCTTGTACGAAACAAATCTACTCCCTTATCAATCGGTAAGAAAATAAAAGATTATGCAATTTTCTGTACAGAGCAAACTGGAGGGAACCTCGCAAGATACGTCAGAGTGTTGCCAATTTGTGTATCACTGATGACATTACTTCACAAAATCATAATTTCCTATTGTTAATCGGATACCTCTCAAACTTTCACTAAAATGTGTGTTTTTCAAATGGTTCGGCATTTATTAATACCAGCTAATTATCAGGATCGATTTTGTTTTGTTGTTGATAATCTGCTTGCTTGATGTTTTGACTTTTAGTAATGCGACATTTGCTCTTGTTTTAATTCGTGAAAAAAGAAAAAGTTAGAGTTTTGAGTTAGGGTTACAGTATGGTTTTAGGTTATATTTACGGTAAACGTTAGGGTTGGTTAGGGCGGTGATAGGGGAGAAATAAATAATAACATGAAATCGCAAATTTGGATACGAAACCTCTTTTCTCGTGACTTTTCGAGGTTTCTTTCCGTTGAAAAAAGTCGTTTGTTTCTTTATACTCTAATTCTACCTTAATTTTCTTGTCCTTTAGCTGCTCTCTCTAAAGGAAATTCACAACCGAATGAGAAATATTGTAGTCTTATTAGTGCCCCCGACTGAGGACGATACTACATTCAACGAAATAACCATCACACTTACACAGTCTGGGAAACTAGGGGTGTCTCGATCAATGGCATTCCTCATTAGATACGAAGGTTTGTCTACAATCTTTAATCCATTCCAGCCAGTATTTCCCCCTTTTTTGACGACCTATGATTATACAATGAACGTCATTTTCTTCTGTGTTATTTTTCCTTTCTATCTTAGCTCTTGCTGTTACCTTTATTATTAAACTTGACTTTACAGGATATTATTACTCGGTGAAAGGACCATAATTATCAATTTCATATAAAGAAATACTTGCGTAGGACATTTTACAATTTGTTTTACTTATTAGTAATTAATTGGTAAACATTACATATTCACTGATATCTATATATAATTTACAATCATTGGAATCGTTTTTTCCTGGACATTTACTTGGGACTATAACTCTCTTTCTTATTATAATGATTTGTTTAAAATGTCTTAATGCTTTTACATTTTCTTTTACAACGTTTTATCATCATACACATGGTTGCAGATGTAATCAAGCTTCCTGAATTTACTCCAGTTATCCGGTAAGCATGTCGTTATCAATCTATTCACATGTTTTAAAAATAAATTTATGTTCGACTAAGGTGAATTATGATTTTATTTTTAAAGATATCAATTGAAGCACAGTGTTATGGTTGAAATACAAGGTATTTATATTCTTGGAGAAAAAATTCTTCTCCTTGTTTACGAAATTAGAATGGAATTTGAAAGATTATTAACATCTTATGGGGCTTAACTATGCAGGAAATGCATAGTTTATATTATGAAGAAATACTTACATGTATTTTTACAGAGACATCGAAGGAACTTCACGAGATGATCTCCCTCATGTAGATCTTCTGAAAATCGCCGAAAAGCTTTCGATAGACGACTTTTATGACCTGGGAGTTGCACTTGGTTTCCAAATACACCAACTTGATGCAATAGAGTATAAGAATCTCAAAGATAGACAAGGAGCCATCTTCGAAATGTTGATAACATGGAAACAGAGACAACTACCACATCAAAATGTGAAGGAAGACCTTCTTTCACTCCTGAAGTCTGAAGAAACAGAGGCAGAGAATACGAAAATAACAGGTTTACTGTTTAATACTCATTTAGATTTATCAGCAGATTCTTAACACTTTTAAGCATTAATTAACATAATCCCTGGTGACTCACAACATATAGTACCTAAGCTGTGTATAGATCTGTACTAATCTTGTGATTTAGTTATGCATGCCTCTATTGATGCTATGGGGGGAACCTAGTTTGACGCCAATGATTATCATCGTCATCATTAGTGTGGAGTAAAATGTTTCTGTATAACAACATTAAAAGGCGCAGACTCCTATACAAAAATAATTATATTACACTTCTGCGAGATGAAGAAAGGATAGAAACAAGTTCCACAAAGAAGGAGCAATGGGTGAAAAGGCGCGATCTCTATCTCACTTAAGATGAACCTTTGTGAAAAAAAAAGATTTTCTTTTAAAGAACTGCAACTTATTATAAAAGCAGAAGAAAAAAAGACTTTAAACAACATAATGTAACAAAAAGGAAAAAAACACGATTATAATGGTTATAATTAATAATGATATCAACAAAAAATAACAACAACCATAGCAATGAATAATGATATTTACATATTTAAAATGATGATGATACTAATAACAAAAAATAAGAGTAATGATAAGGATAGAAATAGTAATAATAATAGTAAAAACCATAGAGTGCGAAGATTCTATTTTTTCTAAATTACATTTGCCAATTATGGAAAGAGGACATTGTGAAAAACCATATTCAAAATTATGTTTTCAAATATTATTTGTACAGTTTTTCATTGATTCATTTGTGCTTAGCAGAATAATCGAATCTAACTATATTTCATTTTTGTTTTGTATGTGCATCACTGATGTCCTTTTCGTTTGGTCACCGTACTTCAGATGCTACTCCAACCGGGTAAGAATCTTTTTTGGCCACTAACCCTTACCGTAAATCTAACCTTCAACCTTACTGAAACCCTAACTGAAAACTCTAACCGTGTGTGTTTTTCCACGAAATAAACCCAGAGCAAATGTCGCAGCGCCAAAAGTCAGAACATCAAGAGGATACTATATTATCAAAGAGATAGTCCACCCTGATAATTGCCTGGTATTAATAACAGCCGAAACAATAACCAAACAAATGAGTGAGAGCTTGAGCTTGAAATAGGAAACCAATGTATCTTTTAAGCTGTCACCAGTAGCAAAATAAATATACTACTAGTGAAATAAATGTAGTAGGAATATTTAAAAGGTTAACACAAAAGAACGCAAAATAAAGGTATACTTTCGGACCGCGTGTCAAGCGGATTACGTGTCTCATTGATTTGATTTTCAATGATGCATGTCTGCATGACTTAATTTGTTTATACAAGTAATGTATACTTATTGCTGGTCGAGGCAGTCAATCTATCCTACTGCATGACAAAAATCCGATTGACTGGATTACAGCTTCTTTGGGAAAGCAGTTTACTGACCAGAAGTTAAAAAAAAGCCTTGATTCTAGTATAATAAACATCCTTTCTTCTCAATATATTTAGTGATATTTCTGACCAATACTTGCTTACATTGGCTCGACAAATCAAGTCGAAGGACTTCATGGAGATTGGCGCAAAGCTTGGATTTAGTCGGAATAAACTTGAGAACATCAAACACAAGACATTGCAGAATCGCAAAGACGCTAACATCCAAATGCTCTGCACGTGGAAGGCATCTCAAAGATCAGATCGTCAAGCGACCGAGACGTTAAAGTGCATTTGGGAATCCGTCTCATTAGCATCTACGACTGGGAATAAAGGCAATTATTCTCCTTCATTTTTAATAAATAATAGCTCTATGACTTGTATATGTTGTATATTTTATATTTGGTCATTTTGTTCAAAAGTAGAAACGAACAGATATCTTTAACTGAACTTTGTCTTCAATGGAATCATACGATTGAAATGTTTAGTGGTAATACGAATTGTTTTGAAGCTTCAGGTTGACTATTAGTATAGGGCTTATAATGTCATTCATAGCAGTCATTTCTATGTGTCAAAAACTTGTCTCACAAGATAAGACGAGATCAGACGGAGCCATCTCTACAATCAACACATAGTAAGTAGAAGAAAACTTCTGTAGTACACAAACAACTTAAAACAAAAGCCTCATCAGCCATGACTGCCATGATATGACACACATGCTATTTAATTTTTTTTTTTTTCTTTCAGACGAAACCTTGCGTATGATGTATTCGGCGACTCCCGAGATAAGAGCCAAAGCAAACGAACCTGTTATAGAGCCTGAAGATTTGGATATCATTACAACATCAGATACAGGTAGAATAATAGCACCATACGATTGGGATAATGAGAGCATTTTATTCATACCCTTTGTTTAAAGCTTATCTGCCGTAGTTTACAGGAGGGATTAGACCTCTCTGCAAGGTCACTGGACAGGTGGTTATCTCATCAACTCAGCTCTCAGTTAACATAAGAAAAAGAGGATCATGGGGTACTAATGGTCACCGATTAGGCATTGTTTGTTATATAGAGGGCGCAAGTAGCTACCAGTAGTGCAGTGGGCCTTTAATACAATTCCAATTGGCATGATAAATATTAAAATATAGAAAGAATCAATATCAAATATCAATTTTGAGTTTAGAAACTTGATGCACTTTTTAGATGATTTTTCAACGTTTGATTTTGATGTAGAGCGAGAGGGAAATAATGATGACCTTGATCAATGTGGGGGTACACCAAACACAGAAGAGCTTTGCAGCGTCGCTCTACCAGTGACAAGTCTGCCATTAGCATGTTCACTTGGAAAAGCCCTCCGTGTAAATGAAGACCTCATTGTTGGATTCATCGATCTACCCAGTTCATCAGTACATACGTTCGCACGACAGGTCGTAGACAGTTGGTTGAATTGTTTGAAGGAGGAAGACAAAGAAGATAAGTTTGTTAAACTTCTCTCTGAGTTTAACATCCCAGATGTCAAGAAAGGTTCGTTGGAATCACAAGGCTGAGTTCAATTGTAATAGTGTTGATAAGGAGATATACTGTTTACCCTTAAAACGAAAAGTTTCAAGTTTAAACTTGTGTATTTTTTTGTTCACACTTCATTTATTTGCGTTAAATCAATAGGATGTAGAGAAGTACAGTAAATTTTCAGTAGGTAAAAATTGGTATTAGAATGTATTTATAAATCATGGAAACTCTTTTCGGTTTCTTTACTTGTCCTTAAGGTAATCAATGTTTTACAGTTTATTCCGTTATTTTAGACGCCGTCAGAGTCCTCATTCATCACCATCATTATGCTATGTTCATTGACCTGAATATTTCCTTTATATTGACATGTACATTTTTTGTAAGTGTCTACAGGCAGTGAAGAAATCTCAAAAGCCATTGGATCCAAGGCAGATCTACTGGACTTGTGTCATCGTCTGAGTGTTAAACCTTCTGGCGTCTTGCAGATCATGAGCACATGTTTGACCTTCCCGCCTCACATGATTGGCCGTAGTACTCTGAAGATGCTTAAAGAATGGGCACACCAAGGTGGGACTAGGGCGAGGCTTCTGGAAGTTGCTCAGGCTTTCCGTTTCAACGATGCAGCAGTCAAGATAGTAGAAGGTAATGCCATTTCTCAACTCCACAGTGTTTCATATCACATTAACTCGTGAAGACCTACTTGATGATTGGAAGAATTTTTTTTTTTTGGACAGATTCATCATGTTTACTTAAGATTGCCTGACTATAAAATAAATCAACATGCCTCCTTCAGGAGGTTGTGCACTTTTAACTTCTTGTTATGAAATAGTAATCATGAACCGTGTTGAACGATGAGTAAACGCGAAATTGAAAGGGAATAATCCGTTTAACAGTTATCGTTCAGACCTCAGAATCACGTTATTCCACTAAATTCACTTGTTTATATTTTTAGAAACATCTCGGAAGTTTTGCCAAAAATATAAATAAACTGCACTTTATTTTTTTATCATGTTTCATAAGGGGATTATCGAAGACTTGTTTCCTTCTTATCCTCCTAAGCCATGACTTGCCAACCAAGCTATATGCCTTTCATCTCGCATGGCATCATTGATCACAAGGGTGGCAAACTAACCCTCGATGAACTTGGTATTGCCGTATCTATCCCTGAAGGAGCTATGCCCAAAGGGATGAGTTCAGTTGTAACTCTTCGCGTCCCAAGTCATGATACTCCTAGGCTTCCTGTACGGGAGGGTGAGGTAGTCATTACTCCAGTCATAGAAAGTTCTCTGACACAAGAACTGCTCAAGCCTGCCACTGTGGTATTACCACACTGCAATCTCCATGCACGTAAAGACGACTCTTCTGTTATCTTGTACACAAAAACTGGACCAGGTAAATATTTGTGTTCTTGTTCTGCTAAATAAAACATCATCACTTGAAATGTGAAACATTTTGACAAACGAGGTTTAACAATTGATTTTAGATCACATATACAATAGTCTTCTTGTCATGAGGATCAATTTTGAGAATCATAAACTGATGAGAGTTATTATGGAATGATTTCTCAATAATAAACAAAAAATACCATTTTGTCATTTGAATCAACTCGCTGAACGAAAAATAAATCAAAGTCAAATATCAGAACATGAGCTGAATCGAAATCAATTCTCACTCTACTAATTAATAATCAATATTGTAAAATCATATATTATCAGGGAGTAAGATAGTTTAATTGTTAATTTTTCTTATTAATTCTCTCAATTCAAAGGAGCATTCGGTCGTAGGAACGTTACTCCGGGCCCGTCACACCTTTCAAAAGATAAGATCAAGTTTCGTACACGTCATCTTCAAGTCTGTGCTCTGTCATCGACCGATCTTCAAGGACTCCAGTTGAGATGTGTAGTCTTTAAACGTCTCTTCATGACTCCTGAAGAGAAATCAGCGCTACATGTGTACATACTTCATCCATACAAGAGCTACATAAAGGTATTTATATCGTATTATACAACACCTACGTGGATCCCTGTCATTTGATTGGAGGATTGTTGGTCACATGATATTCAATAGATGGTATATTGCACGGTCGTGCATTTTTGGTTATATGCGCCGTGCATTTTTGGTTATATGCAGACTGCGTACCTCTCTGCCGTGCGCGCGCGTATCCCTGCGTGTATCTGACGCGAAGGCAATCTGAATGTAATCGAGAAGGCTTGAATCCAACTTGAATTTATCTTTAATATAAAGAGTAAAGCATAATTTGTTGATTAACGCTCTATTAGATCTTCTTCGATGTTGTATAAAACAAATAATGAATGTTTTTCATTCGTTCAATGGTGCAAATATTTTCATTCGTTGAAAGATTAACATTAATTCTATTCAACGAGGCGTTAGCTGAGTTGAATAGAATGTTAATCTTTCAACTCATGAAAATATTTGCACTATTGAACTCATAACCATTCATTATTTGTATAATAACCAACACCATCTTTAGCGGACACCATTTAATAATATAACTAGTAAAAAGGAAACCCTTCGGGTTATTTCACTTATGAAAGGCCTATGGTAAGACTTTAAAATTTACCAAGTAACGTCTGCAAAGAATTTCTTTCTGACTAAATAATTAGCGCATGATTTAAAAAAAAAAAAGCAAGGAAGGGGATGGAGAGAAATTGATGAGTCTTGGGAAGGGGGAAAAGTGAGGAGGGAGAATTAGAATGGGATGGATAACAAAAGAGAGGCGGGAAAGAGGATAGGATAAAAAGCGAGAAAGGGGATGGAGAGAAAGTGATCTGACTTTTTATCAATTATTTTATTTCTACCATTAAATTGTTAGATGAAAATAATCGCTGTTCATAAACCTATATTTTAAAGGCCTACAATAGTGGAAGTTCACAATCTGAATGTAATTTATTAATTTTGCAATATCAAGATTTGCTTATTTTGTTGTTGTCCGATTCCAGGATATAACTAGGAAAGAGAAGAGTTCTTCTGTACCCTACTGCAAAGTCCTCCAGGAACTCAGATTCTCTATAGATTCAACAGCAAAGGGTCTAAAGATTATGTTCAACGACGGGGCGAAAAGTAGCAAAAGAATGGTAAATATGCGTGATTGTTTAAGAATAATTGTGGAATTTGGAGATGTAAATTTTAGAAGCTGAATTTGTATTCTTGTTATTCTTGTACCTGTTGGTGTTAAACTGGATAATTTATTTAATTTATTATCATAATATACATTTTATCATGTTTATTTTTATCTTCATTATTATTATATAAGTATTGTTGTTGTTGTGTTTGTTGTTAATATTATAATTACTATCATTTTTATTATTTCCCTGCAATTCGAACCAAGGTACACATCAAGAGTATAATAAGTGGAAAGTGCGACCGTCTAAATTTCGAGATTCAGTTCTCTCCTGAAGAGAAAGGAAAGAAGAACGTCCATATCGACATACTACAAGGGTCAGCAAAACGTGCAGAAAGAGACTATATCATTTCAATAGAGGGTAAGCCTATATTATCAGTAAGTAGGAGAGTTTGTGTATTTTACTTCATCATATGTAGCCAGGTACTTCAAAGACCTAACATAAATAATTTATGTATCAAGTGACCCCAAATACTGTACATAAGTCATTCATGTAGCTATCTACAGTAGTACTTTTATGTAAGAAAATGAAGCTACTTCTACGAGGATTTTTAGGGCAATTTCTGTAACTTCAATGTATCTTTTGTTTTCCTCATTCAATAACATTTACTAGAATGAGGTTCAAAACATTTGTGTCAGGTGTATGCTTAAAGTTAGGGCATACTAAATGCCCTTTTATGAGGATCTAAGTGGAAAGAGATGAAGAATTATGATGCAAAATACAATACATGTCATTAACACACTTTTCTAGTTTAAAACGTCAAAAATTAGCTGTGGGGGTAACCTGTTCGAAAATATAAAACTGTTTATAACACATTATGTTTCTTCTCGTATCTCCCACCCTCCCTCCCCCCCCCCCCTCCCCCATCTGAAACGGGGATATTTTATTTGTGACACTCTTCAAACCTTATGTTGAGTTGTGATTATTTTCTCTCTATACAGTCGCATCCCTTATACAAAATGCATAGCAATTCAGTATACTGAATAAGATAAAAACGCCTCAGCCATGTTGTATATCTTTATTTCGTTTGATGCAGATGAACCGGATTATGCAGTCGATCACACAGATTCGTAAGTAAAAGAATATCATTATCGATGAAAGTATCGGTCATTCTTGCAATAATACGTATTAGGTGAAATTTAATACATTTACATCATAAAAAACCACATTTCAAATTTTGAATCAAAAACATGACATGGAACAAATTCATAACGATTTAAGACAAGGGAGATGTGACCATGCATTTATTATTCCTGACAAGTACCCATCACTAGATGATGTTTTATTCCTGTATTTAGTATTGCTAACGGTCGAAAACAAACTTTTAATAATAATAATACTCCGCGTTTATATATAGCGCTTAATACATCGACGATGTTTATCAAAGGAGAAGGATTCCTGTCAATATATTTCACAAAGGAAGATACCAACACTCCATCAACTAGTATTATTTTGATTTATTTAAATGTTTCAATTAGTTTCAATATAACGAGTAACAGATGGACATAATGGCGCAAATATACATTTCGATATCTTCAAATATGATTTCCGGCCGAATGTTATGAATTTACTTTTCTGTAGGCAGGGTCGATTGCAGTTTGTGTCCAACAATCTTCTCGAGATTCTGAAAGATGTGATCCCTTCACTCAAGGACCTAAAGTCCCTTGGATACCAGCTAGGCTTCTCATATACAGCTGTAGAGAAATACCTCAACCACCCAGACCCGTCATTTGATAGTGTCTCGAGATCAGGCTTTGGTGAGATGCTCATTGATTGGAGACGGAGGATTCGACCTAGTGAGCAGGTAGATGAACTTCATCTGGCATTACAAAATGCTGGGTTAGGCCATGCAGCTGAGGTCATTCTACCTAGAAGTAAGTATTTATACCATACTATACTCTATCCCCTTTTGTAAAACTACAGTGTATGATATTTCCATGACGTTTTGCATAGTTTTGAACTAAAACAATAACATGTTTTCGAAGCCATAGACATAGGCACTATGAAGCTTTTCCATTTTATTATACAGCGAATCGATCTGGTATGTGCTCGAACTATTTCAAATTGTTGTTAGGTACTCATTTGATACACATCGAAAGAGACCTAATACGTTGGGAAAACAAACTGGTCCTATATATCGTAAGCACCCAGCAAGGATGCGACCTGGGACCTCTCATATTCATGACAGTCCAGAGTCATCAATCTTCTACAGTAGTTCCACTTATGTAAATAAATGGGGGCGTTAATTTAATCTCGGATGCGTTTTTTGTAAGAACAGCAGCAAAGACTGCTTTGTTCCGTTACCGTCCACATTGAATCGCCCCATGCTCGAATTATTGTATTGTATTTTATCTTTACTCATAATGAACCGGCTTATTTTGTTGATGTTCTTTCTCCTTAACCATTTTCACAATTTCCTTTAGATATAACACTATATTCAAAAGTACCTCCGGAAATAGTCCGGATACTTCAATCATTGGACGTTCTGTCTTCTTCACTATTTGCGTGTGTGAACTATCATCGATTAGCAGCTAGAAATATTCTGATTCTTGAATTGTCAGCCTTTCTACCCTATTTGCTTTTACACATAAACTATCAATCTTTCTTCTTCCTCATTTATATTTTTATTACCAGTGAGGAGCACTTCTAGGAAGCGCTTTGAACAAACCAGAAAAGTATGGGAGTCAAAGGAGTAGGCCACCTTGTCAATGAAATTCATATCATCGTTCTACGACCAAGAAGGAATTCACTTGATCAAGAGTAACTTCTTGACTTGATTGATGCATTCAGCTGCCTGACAAGTCTATATCTTGAGAAACATGTATTCCAAGTCTGCATGGTTCTTAGCCCGAATCTCGAAGTTGCTGTTTTCCCTGGCCAATGCTGCTGGGGGAGTCATGTAGTTAATCTGCATATGATAATGATTTCGTTTTTATGTTCCTTAATTATTAAAAGGAAATCTAACCTTGATAGTAAAATCATCTTTACAAAAGAGCAGAACAACCAATAAAGCAGACATGTGAAAAATATTGGACAGTTGTAATCACTAAATGTTTGGGCATTTCATAGTGGTTCCAAACACTTCTCTCGAAACCCCCTCATTAGACTAAATATTGAATCAAGACTGTAAGACATGTGCGCAGTGTTAACACTTTCTGAAAGATTGAGTACATGTATAATTTCTATTAAAAAAAATCCTCATGACTTACAGCTTTTTTCTATACACCCTACATTGTCAAACAGCCCCAATCACATATAGACAGTTTCCTTTTCAATACGATTGCATGACCAGTACTCATGTCTCTTCAATATGTATCAAACTTGGGTCAGTTTTCATACTGGCTGCAATAATAAATTTGTGTGAAAAGCGTTTCAGTTCCATCGCCAAAATAATTATGTGCGTAGCATAACAACTACAGAAATAATTGTCTTTATATAAAATGTTGCATGAAAAATGTGTCAGTTGACTTGCTGAAATGATCATCTATATGAGATAATGTAAACCTGTTTCAGTTCTATCAGTACAATTGTTGTATTCATCAGGTAATAACTGTAATAAATATATGTTTTATTATAAGGTTTGTATGGAAACTGTTCCACTTATATTCCTACAATACTAATGAGCATATGATAACAATTACGGAAGGTATTTTCTTTATTGCGAGGTTGTATGAATACTGTTTCGTTATGTTGCTACAATAATCGTGTACATGTGGTATATCATAAGATATTTGTTATTAGAGGTGTATGAAGACTGTTTCAGTTCTGTTTCAACGATGACAATGTACATAAAATAATAATTGCAGTCAAAATTTCATTTATTGTAAGGTTGTATAAATACTGTTTCAACTAGAGTAGACATATACATAGGATTGTAATATTTGCTACGATATCATATACATATGATAATAATTACAGAAAATATGTTCTTTATTGTAAGGTTGTATGAATACTGTTGTAGCTTTGTTGCTACAATTATTCTGTATATGTGATAAACATAACAGAATATATTTTTCGTTATTACAGGGTTGTATGTATATACTTTTTCAGTTATGTTGCTGGAATAATCATGGAAACAAAATAATATTTAAAGAAGACATTTTCTGTATTGTATGAATACTGTTTCAGTACTTTTGCTACAATAATCATATACTTATGATAATAATTACAGAAGATATTTTGTGCTGTATGAATACTGTTTCAGTTATGTTGCTAGAATAATCATGTACATAATATAATATTAAAGTATACGTTTTCTTTATTGTATGAATACTGTTTCAGTTCTATTTCAACAATGCTATTGCACATAAGGTAATACATACAATAAATATATGGTTCATCATACGGTTGTTTGAAAACTGTTCAATTTGTATTGCTAGAATAGTCACGTTAATAAGACAAGAATTACAGACCAAATTGTATTCATTGCGCAGTTTTATGAGGTCGTTTCATTTCTTTTACTATTACAATGATCGTGTCCATTAGGTAATAACTGAAATTAATATAATTATGTGGTTGTATGAATGTATAAGGTTGTATGAAAACGGATCTAGTTGTATTGCTTCAACAATAATTCATATAAGATAGGTTAATAATTCCATATGATATTTTGTTTATTTCAACGCTGTTTAAAACAAATTGCCGTTCTGTCGCTACACTAATCATATGAATATGATAAAAAATGTAAATACGGAATATATTTTGTAGGAATACTGTTTCAGACCTGTTGCTAGCAAAAACATGTAAATAATATAATATTAAAGAATACTGTTTCAGTTCTATTGCAACAATAATATTGCATATAAGGTAGTATATAAAATGAATATATATGGTTTATCATAAGGTTGTTTGAAAACTGTTTAACAAGTTTGTATTGCTAGATTAATCATGCAAATGAGAAAAATAATTACAGACCGAATTTTATTTAGTATACGGTTGTATGACTCGTGTTTCATTTGTATTGCTTCATTAGGCATGTATACATGACAATAATTACAGGATATATGTTCTTCATTGCAAGGTTTTACGAGGATTGCTCATTTGTTTGACCACAATAATCATGTACTTGAGGTAATAACTGAAATGAATATATACGTTATTATATGGTTGTATGAAAATGGTTATAGATGTATGGCTACAAAAATCATGTAAATAAGGTTGCTTAATAATTTGAGAGGATGTTTTCTTTATTGCAAGGTCGTTGTAAACTTCGCTGATCCGTTGCTACAATAATCATATACATATGACAATAATTACTGAATACATTTCTCTGCTGTGTGAATACTGTTTCAGTTCTTACATTAACCGTATACACATGATAATATTCATATATATTTTCATATTCAAATTTATTGTCCAATGATTGGAAATTTGTTTCATTTGCATGTCAGTACAAGGTTACACATTATAATGTGATAATAGTTACAGAAGATATTTTAGTTGTATGAATACTGTTTCAGTCATATTGCTACAATGATAATGTACATAAGGTAATACATACAGTAAATATATGGTTCAATTTGTTCAATCTGTTCAATTTGTATTGCTAGAATAGTCACGTTAATAAGGAAACTAATTACAGACCAAATTGTATTCACTGCACAGTTTTATGAGGACGTTTCATTTCTTTCACTATTACGATGATCGTGTACCTTAGGTAATAACTGAAATGAATATACAATAAGCATATGAATAGGATAAAAACATTTAATTACGGAACATATTTTCTTTGTTGAACGAATACTGTTTCAGTTCTGCTGCTACAATTATTATGTAAATATGATAATACTTACAGAACATATTTTCTTTGTTTCATGAATAATGTTCCAGTTGTATTTCTACAATGACCATTTACATATGAACATAAAATGGTAATATATTTTGTTATTGTAAGGTTGTATGAATAAGTTTTAGTTCTGTTACAATAATCATAAACATATGGTAATAACTACATTAGATAGTATATGTTGTATAATGAAGACCATTTCAGTCCTTTTGATCCAATACTCATTTACATATGATAATAATTACAGAAGGTATTCTATTTTGCTCTATGTTTTCTTTCAGTTCTTTTGCAACAATGATCATTTACATTAGTTAATGAATATATGCGTTATCATAAGGTTGTACGAAAACCCTTCTAGTTGTATGGCTACAATAATCATGTATAAAACAGCATAAGAATTTCAGAGGACATTTTCTTATTGCACGGTTGTATGAAACCTTTTTTTTTCCTGTTCTATTTTTGCAATGATCATGCACATTACGTAATAACTGCAGTAAATATGTGCTTTACTATCGTGACTATAATTTGTGTATGAACACTTCTCCAATTGTACTGCAACAACGATCATGTACATAAAAGAATATTAGCAGCGCCTATAATGTTGTTATTGCAAATTGTATGAAAACTGTTTCCGTTGTATCGCAACAATTATAAGTTATGTAGTATAGACTATCTTTGATTTGAGAGTTTATCATTCATTTTATATAGGCAGAAGCATACCATTGGAGCAATGATACTTTCAGACGACTGCTCATAAAAATGTTATCATATTCAAAATATGACAAAGTAGTTTCAGTCTTTGAAATATGTTTTGATGACACACGTGTGATATCCCATATATGCCACATATATGTGAGGTGTTTTCCTACGATGTACAGTTTTCAGCAAGATTGCATATCGGTGTGATTTGTATCCTTGTAATAGTTTATTTCATTTAATATGATCCTTCATGGTTTAGTCTTCAAAATAGTTTGTCTATTTTGTATTTCTTGTTTTCAACATATTTTATATCATTTATAGTAATTTGTTTTAATTTCGCAATTTTAGTTACTTACTACTAATTCAAAATAATACAACGTTTCTGAAATGTCTAAACGTCGATTTTGTCATGGTTTTGATACCGACATGTACAGCAGTGCTAAAACCAATCATATAATCCTTAATAAATACATTTGAAAAATTGTGATTTCTAAACCTGAAAGTGAACCATCCCCATGTATATTCTTATTAACATCAACATTTTACCATGACTTGCAGACAGTTTATTTTACAATGCACTTGCCAAAACAAGTACTTGAATTTATGTTTATGATGTATCAACGTTGTGTATGTTGAATTGCTACAATATTCAAGTTAAAACAAATACATGGTATTGTATTAAACCATATTAAGGTTGTAGAAATGGCGTTTCGGGACTGTTGTATCGCTGATCATGTACATACGACGATAATACTAAGTTGTGTTGTCTTACAGTTGTGGTTCCGCAGTGACTATTTATTACTGTTGTAATAAAGTAATAGATATAGCAAAAGTTTTGCGTATAGTGATCATACATAGCCGCGATCTGAGGGAACTGTCAAATTGACCCCCACCCGAAGTGTAAACCCAAATTTCTCGAAATTTCCATCCGAGCAAAAAAAACAGAGAGAAAGAGAAAGAGGGGGAGAGAGAGAGAGAGAGAGGGGGGGGGCTATGTCAATGATAGGCTTACACCACTCTCATTTAATTTCACCTGGCAGCTCTTCAAAGTGTTAATTTCTTGTTTGTTTTGAAGTGCGTTATCTTCCGTTTTGGTAAATTCTGAACTATTCTGAATATTTTCTTCTCTTCGGTTCCAGTTACTGACCTGTATTAGTCTGCATGCACTGACTCTATTTTGACACTTATAAATCATAATAATAGTCTTAAGCAGAGCCAAACTCTGCACGTACAGCCTCTGGTTGTGCCCCACCAGGCGCTTACGCGGGGGGGGGGGGGGGGGTAAAACCCCCTTTAGTTTTTGTATGTGTGTATTTTTTAAGCAAACCTCCCCCCCCCCCTTTCGCGGATTTTTTTTTTTTAATTTAATTTTTTTTAAATAAATTATTCCAATGGCTGACCTAAAACAAAGTGACCTCCCCCCCCCCCTCTACAGAAGCAAAATGTCAAATTTTCACATTTCGAGACCCCCCCCCCCCCCCAAAAAAAGTGTCCTCTTACCCCCCCCCCCCCCCCCCCCCCGATTTGGCCCGATTTCAAAATGTTAACCCCCCCCCCCCCCTCCCTTGAAAAAATCCTGCGTACGCCACTGTGCCCCACATGTATGTTTAATGGGTCATGAAGTGCAGCAGATCTTGCAGTCCCGTATATTAACAATTTAAAGCCTGTCTGAACTATTTTGGCCAGGAAGTATTAAACCTCCCTGCAAGGTCACTTCACAGGTGGTTGGGGGACCGACGGGTACCACTTAGGCATTGTTTGCTATATATAGAGGGCGCAAGTAGTGCAGTCAATCCCGCTTTAAGATACTTATTCAGAGTTCAAACACTCCTTTTGTTTGGGGTTAGGACTAACACGGGTTTGTCGCTGCAGACTAGACTTCTGCCTGTACTCTCACTTCTCGACGCGCAATCTGCGCATGAGCTGCCTAGCCTCGGCCTCGTGCTCATGTTTTGAACATGTACGCGGGTCGCTGCCGCCGCTATCATCACATGGAATCGCCTACCAACTGCGGCCTGTACGTACTAGTTGCGAAACTCTGATCCTCCCAATTTACAGAGCTCATCAAGACCAGAACTTAGCTGTAAGTTATCCCTTTTTCTTCTTTTATCAACATCATATCCTTCTATCACATCTTTCCATGATCTTAGTTATTAGGGCGTGTAAATGTATGGATATCCTAACTTCCTAAGCCTAGCAAGGCTAGCATTTTACCAGATTGTGTGAGATGAGCGGGAGATGAGATGACTGAGTGTATATGCAAGGTGTCAGTGTCCATGTTATGACCATGGACCTACTATGTTATGACTCGGTGAGGAAGGCATACAAAATTGATGGGTGAATTGTGGTGAATTGTGTATCAGTTGAATCCCATTCATACATTATGCGAGAGGTACTAAAAGTTATAGCGTCAATGCCGGTCACTATATTCAGATTTGGTTTGTGGTTATGCTTTAATTAGTTGCTGTTTCTGTGATTTTGTATATTTTTGTAAAACTTCAGATGAAACAATACTTGCATTAATGTAGGCCTATTTTGAAATTAGGGAAAATTATTGAAGAGAACAATAGCCTGGTATAAAATTGGTATAGACAAGTTGAGATGTAATTTGTCCAATGTGTCTATAGGTAACATGCAAGTTTTCTTTATAGCGTCAGCAGTTAACTTACAAACATGGAATTACAAATTAACCGATACTGTGTGTTATAGCGTAGACATGTATGTACAGTATACATGTATGTTCAGTCAAGAATTCACATTCGTCAATCAATGTCTGACCTTTTTGACCCACAAGGACATTAGCTGACCGAAAGGGGCATGAGTCCCAATAACACTGACATATTTTCGAGGCAACAGAGCACAAGCAACGGTATACAGTCTGACAATTATAATGTTTGCAAGCTAGTGTCCTTATTACATAACAATATTTATTGAGGAACAGAACAGTCAGTGCCTCAGTGGTGATAATGATTATAATAATGATATTTGTAAGGCGCCGAATTCACTTTAAAGACCGTCAATACTACTGGGCCAGAAGGGATTAGACCACCCAGCCAGGTCACTGACAGGTGGCTATCTCATTAACTCAGCTCTCATTTAACATAAGAAAAAGAGGATCATGATAGGCCAACATGCACCGATTGGGGAAGTTTTCTATATAGAGGGAGCAAGTAGCTACAAGCAAAGCAAACGTTCAAGGCGCATTTGCGAAACATGAGAGGATCGAGATCACATAAAAGCATGTCATTATGAGTATAAACAAATGAACAAGAGTAAGATAGAACATACAAAACGGACAGAACAATTAATTATATGCCGAATTGAACAGATAGGGCCTACGTTTTAAGATTATTTTGTAAACACTTCAACTAATCTGCTATTACGAATCTCTTTGAGGAATAGCATCCACAGCGAAGGCCATGTATGGGCAAAGGCTCTTGCATTAATATTTAGAAAGGACAACATTAAAAATGAGAGATACAAGAAATTTGATGTGTTGATTAAAGGTATTGACCAGTTTTGGAACCCCCCCCCCCCCCCCCCCCGTCTCAAAAAAATGGAAGCTCTTATTACCAATCATGTAAAAGAATATGTTTGGACTACGTAATGATACAAATTTTGCCGGGAAACCGCCTAATAAATAATAATTGATATATTTTTAAAATTATCATATCGACTCGGCCTGGATAGATATCGCGAATGTACTTCAACATTGAACATTATTTTGGGCATAATTATATTTCTGCTTTTTTTGTTGCGAATTTAGGTTTAAGTATTGCCATCTAAACCTCTGAAGGCAATATTTAAACAATATTGAATGGATTTTGCACCCAAAACCCTTGAACCGCAATTTTACCATTACCGGTCTATATCTCTAAGTATTTTTAATATAGTATTTTGAAACTTAACCTCCATGAAGATGTCCATCGTGGTCTTAATGAAGGCAGAAAAGTAAGAGAAACTAATGTTGTGTAGTAATGTCCCAAAACCCAGTTAATTATAAAGTACCCTCATATCTAACCCTGCCAAGATGCCCAATTTGAGATGCACTTAAAAGCCAAGTTTATATCTTTATAATCCTTCCCCATAGAAAGACCAAGTGCATTCATAATCCACTTCCCAGGAAAGACCACCTCTGTTATGTTTAAGCCCATATACTACCAACTATAGTCCGTTGTTTCGGCGGCTCTCAGTCATGTCTTTATCCCTTTGTCACAATGTAACCAACCCTCATATGACTTGTATCCTTCTGTATAAATATTACATGTTCTGGCTTTCTGAAAGAGAGGGGTTGAGTTTTGATCACGATTAGATCAAGACCCTCTTTCTAGCTGGCTTTGTCTTCATATTGTGTTTTAGATATGGACGTTCGTAATGATGTGACCGATTTGATTCTCCAAAGTGTGGAGATAATAAATACTCTCATATGATTCCAAAATTACAAGTCTCTCCTTGCTGTTTCATATTTATGTACCTCTCCAATTGCAAATGTGCACCGATCCCAACACAACATTAATTGGTAAAAGTTTGAGCAATTTCCGATTAAACAATTTTAAAATGTGTTGAAAAGTTAAGAACTTGTCGAAGATGTCATCAGTGAAACAAAATTTGACAACGATGTGACGTATCTGGCGAGCTCCTCTCCAATTTGCTCTGTACAAATTCATAAACGTTCCTTTTCTTAGGTATAAGTTGATGACGGAATAATTTTGTTTCATATAGGGGTTGTATAAAAACATATTTAAAATGAATTTAGGGTGCATGTATGATTGAAGATTTTCTTTACGTGTGTAGGGGGAGTATATTTAGGGAGGGGTTAGTAAGGGGTGGAAGCAGATCATAATCATATCACCCAGAGACAAGGCCCGAGTGCAATTTTCGGGAACAAGACAAAAATCTAAGTGGATAATGGCAGCATGACTGGGAGCGGTTTCTTTACTACTCAAATTCTGCTGAACCACTCTTACAATTATGTCAGTCAAATTATGACTATTACTTTCATTATCTCAATTGGATAATTGAATGGCCTCTTCATTATATGGTGAATTATATTATAAAAGTGAAGCGATGGTAATTAATTAAGTTATATTGTGGATATTTATACTTGACGGTCATTCCGACTGATCACATTTTGAAAACTACAGTTCGTATCTTTCGCGATATTCAATAAGAGAAAGATGAGTTTTGGGGAGAGGTGCAAAATAATTCGTGAGCGTTTTCATTGTTATCATGCAAGTGCGGAAGAACGTCGGAGAAAAAATGCTCCTGAAAAGCATGGCTCTGCAAATGCCTTAATATTCTAAATATGACATGTGACAGCTTAAAAGTGTGAGCCTCAATTTTATGCCACATGTTCTTCCCCCTCCACAGTCATTCGCTGTACACCCCCCACCCCCCCCCCCCTCATGTGATTAGTTCACAAAACATTACTCTTGTCATGCTTTTCGAACACAATGTACATCCAAATGTAGTGGAGAACCAAAACGAAGTGGAGACTCTATACTTTTGTGGTTTTGTCTTCGTAAGAAAAGCTTTCTCGTTACTAGAAACTGTCCACTATAATGCTGAAAACATTTTACCAGATGGTAATCCAGAGCTATTATTTCTTGACACCATCTAATTACGCTGTAATCTTCAGCCATTATATCCTTTGTATTCTGCAATAAGTAATGTCCTTTGTCCCTTTTAGTCCTAAGCGAAGTGCGGTAACTTTAAATTGTTTGTTTATTGGCAGACTGATCTCTTTCATGATTGTATTTGGTGATATTGTCCAGAGTGAGCAATTCGCAGTGTTTTTGCTTTATAGGAAGTGCTCCCAGTCACCACACAGTGGGTTGATTGTAGATTCATAAAATGCCAGCCCCCCCCCCCCCTCTCCGGGGTCGTAGGGACCGCATTCCTGTTCCCCAAATCTCCGGTAAAGGGGTGCTTCTCACGCAACAAAGTCCGACCCCTAGTGACTCATACACACAGGAGATGGGGGGGGGGGTGATTTCGAAAAATCCGACCCGTTTTGACTTTACAAAGCAGAGACAGGAGGGGTTGCTTTCAAAGGGAGGGGACATGCATACGAGTACCCTAAATATCACCGAATGTGGGGGGGGGGGGCGGGATAACATGACCGAAACACGTCATGAAAAGTCATTTGAAGAGGAATAAGGTATGAAATGATAAAGAGAGTGATTTTCGAAGTTTTATGGTATGTTCTCCAAGTGTATACTCTTAATATGGAATTCTTAGGAATTGCTGTACGTCACTGGTAGATGATGACTCGTTAGTTAGTCCCAAAACACTTATTTCCATGAAATGTTTTGTTTACTTGCGCTTAGTTGTTTCGCCCCCTGGGTGTTGGTTTCGTCATAACTCTTTTAAGGCTGCCTATATAATTATCATCACCTTTTTCCCCATTTGTTTACGTATCGACAACGAAAGGGACCGTGAAATGAGTTGCATACAATGAATGAACTGCAGGAGTCCGACCGACTTGGAGAAACGTCTTTAGGGAGTAATTACGACTAGATGACCATTTTCTCCGATTGCCTATTGGAAGGGAGCAAGCCTTCAGCCTTGTATAATGGAAGTACAAGCAGTGAAACTCAGTGAAACTCCTAAGAAAAGACGGCTTGAGCAGGGATATGTGAGTTTAAACTCACATATCCCTGGCTTGAGGGAGGGAAATATGCGATTTTTGTAAGCAGGTGGTCTCTCTCTGTACAAGTTTCATATTATTACAGGTTTCGAGGAGCAGTTTTCAAGAGCGACCAAAAATTATGGTGTATACAAATGCGCCTAGGTGACTTTAAAGACCGTCAATACTACTGGGCCAGAAGGGATTAGAGCACACACCGAGGTCACTGACAGGTGGCTATCTCACTAACTCAGCTAAACATAACTAACATAAGAAAATAGGATCATGGGGACCAACAGGCACCGATTGGGGAAGTTTTCTATATAGAGGGAGCAAGTAGTTACAAATAGGACAATGGGGCTTTAAAGATAAGCTTGAGTTCTGGTAATGATTGAAAATAAATTTACACAGAATCTAACAAAACTCACTATGAATGATCAGGATTACAAAAAAAATATATGTTTCACACGATTTTGGTAGAATGTGTACAGGGGCTGAGTAATGAGCATAGAATTAAAAAGAAATCAAGGTACATAGGCCCAACACAATTATTGTGCTTAAAGGTAATACAAAAGTTTTGGGAAATTTTGAAAATTGGGTGAATAATGATTCTTTACAATTTTGATATATTTAGATGCCCGGTTGATTTATTATAAGCACTAAAAAATTTAGCCCCTAAAACATTTCTGCTTTCGAGAACAATAATATAATAATTTGCCGGTGCTCCCGGGAAATTTTGATAAATTTCAAATAGCGCCTACGGCCGTAAAATGGTAGCTGCGACCATGAACATCTCAGAATATGTAGTTGTGATATACAGTATAATTTCCAAACGGGAATAGCAAATCGGTCGATTTTAGTCAGGAAATATTGTTATATAGGTTCATTAATATCTTGACCTTGAGAGGGAGCTATACAACATGAAGAGTTTATTATTTACAATTTCATAACTTTAGACTCGATTTCAACCGCGGCAACGATCCCTGAATATTGTAGGATCGCACATGCTTCCAAAATGTTTGTTTGAACCAAATTCATGACCCCATACCAAAACTTTGTATTACCTTTAAAGGTACTATGTCCCTTTTGCAGCCAACCTCAAATTCTGTAGAACTTTGCAGGAATTATGAATATGTCATGTATGTCCTATCTGTGAAATTTAAACGTTAGCAGTGTCCTCATATTCAAATTATGCAAGGAAACCCGTTTACTTGCTAGACTTCACTGTCAGATACTATTGAGTGACTGACTGGCTTTTTTCTTCTTTGGTAATAGCATACATGAAAAGAGTTGTAAAGGGTACATGAGCATTTGTCTACGTCAATAACCCACTTCTTGTGATGGCCAAGATTAAACTGATTGAATCTTTGCGCAGCATATAACGTATGACCATTCGGTACAATTGTCTGAAAATCAAGACTGTGTTTTTTCAGCTATTCGGCGTCGTCGACGTTTTCCTTAAAAAGGGGTATTTTTTTTACCCGGGGGGGGGGGGGGTACTCACATATTAAGCCATACGGGGTATGCCGGTAATTTTTTCCACAAAAATACGCCTTTATATAAATCCGTTTTTTCAAAAGATTCACAATGTAGCACACCCCGTCAAAACCAAATCTGATTACCATCGTTTCCATCAAAAAATTAGAAAAAGTTAAAGTTCAACTGTTATTTATTTAATTGTCACATGTCTATAAAAAAATATGTACATATTATAATCAATATGTTATTTCAATTGTCTCTTTACAAATGCAGATCATATTGCTGGGAATCATTCGCAAGCTCTAAATCGGAAGACACGTCAGAGATTGATATATCTTGACCGAAGACTCTGATCACATTTCAGCCTTCTACATGTACAGTATCCGTAAAAAATCATGGTGACCGATCGTCAAAAATCTGATTTGCCGCGAAGCATGAAGGACCAAATAACTTGTTACTCCACTAATGGAGTTTTCAGTTTGCCCGTCTACACTAAGTACGACAGAGACGCTATCCAGAGAGCGACACGAGGCCAGAGTGACAACGAGCTATGGTCGAAATACCGGTATGGCTGTATCGGGGCATCCAACGTCGGGAGGGTTTTGCGTTTCATGAGGTATCGCGGCAACCGACGGAGAGCGAACCCATGGTCTCTAGCGGGAAGGATTATTGGAAATGGACGCTCATTGAAACATCTACCTCAGATTGCGCGCGGTTATGAAATGGAGCCGGTGGCTAGAGCAAAGTACGCCGAGTATCAGCGGATGAAAGGTCATCAAGATGTCGATGTTAAGGAGTGTGGAATGTTCTTCCACCCACGGAAGTCTTTCCTGGAGGCGTCACCAGATGGGCTGGTGAGCTGCAGCTGCTGCGGTGGTGGCCTCGTCGAAATCAAATGTCCCAGTACTGCGCCGACTGAAAAGCCGTCGCCCCGCAACGAGAAGTTCCTGAGAAGGGACAACGGAGGGAAGTTTCATCTGAAGAGGAACCATCCATACTATGACCAGATCCAGGCCCAACTCGCCGGGACAGGACGGTCCTGGTGCGACTTCTTTGTCTACAAAGACAACGGGGTGTTCCTCGAGAGGATTGAACGGGATCCGCAATGGCAAAGATCTTTCCTGATGGACATGGACAGATTTTTCTGGAGGTTCATTGTTCCCGTCCTGGTGAGCCGAGCAATCAAGAACAACCAGGGAGCGGTTCATCAACCATACGGCTGCCCCTACTGCGGGGAACCAAGCCACCGTGTTCCTTTTTGTTGGTACTGGTTCCCATTGCGATGTCGTAATTGTAAGCAGCTAGGACATAAGGCAAAAGTTTGTCCCAATTCTTAAGCATTTCATTGTCGTTATGATTATGACTTGTGTATGATGTTTCCAAAGATATGAAAAGAAGTTCCAGCCTGTACTAGGCCTTGATAGGATTAACCGTATGTTTTCATCTCTTGTATATACATGTATAGTCACAGTTTTTGTAACAAAAGAATGATTACCAGTAGTTTATTCATGAGATTTGTCGCTGCCTTATATTATTGTGTAAAGTGACTATTCCCGACGGTGTGGTGAAGAGTAATGTTACGACATTGTCGCCGCCTTGGTGTAGAGAGTGTAAATGACGATGTCATTCATTCAGGCGACGGTTTGGTTGATGTTTGACACGGAGCCAAACTGTCAATGGCCATAGTACACCATGTGACCACTTAATCCCCCAGCCCTGACATTGCACCCGCGCGGGTGTCTGTTTCAAATCCCAAATCTTGGAAGATGATTCGGCGACTTCCAAATCACGATGATGAAACATAAATGTACCTGTATATAAGAACACTGAACCATGATAAAATACTACGCAACAATCGGGGCCAGTTTTCATTTATTGGTTGCTTATATTAGATGTTTTTCCCGTTCATTTTGTGTTTAAAAATGTAACCAGATATACTGTGGATGATTATGCTTCGATTGCTGTATAAGAACACTATCTTAACCATGATAACAATTCTGAGCAATTATGGGAGCATGTTTTCTTTTAATTGGTTGCTAATCTTAGATGTTTTTCGACGATAATATTTCTTTCTGTACATTCTCTGTTTTAAAATATAACCAGATAGATAACCATTCTTCGATTGCTGATTATTTTCATAAAATAATGAAATGAATAAAGATGATCTTCAACGATTTCATCATTGTCCTTGAAGTTAAAAGCTAGGTTAAATTCTTGTGTCATCAGAATTACGGAGAGGAGTGTTTTTTGTTCGTTTTTTCCCTCTTGAATGTTCAGGCTCAAGCTAACGTTTTCTTACTCTGAGTGCCTTAACATGTTAAAGAAAGGAGATTGTTCATTATTTTCTCCGGTTTCTCTTTCATTTTTTTTTTAAAGCAAAAAGAAGGAGAAAAACTTAAAGAGAGAAGAACAAATATGTGCAAAGTATCTGTTAGTGTGCACGAACTTTCCATGTTGCATTAGTAAAGTCGGTAATCTTTAGATTCAGTTAAACCCAAACGTATTGTAAAAAAAGGATGTAAAAAGGTAATCGTAGACCTTAACCTGATTTTGAAGAAAAAAGCCTAAAAGCAACTCAATTCGGTCGAAGCGAAATTCTTTTCTTATACGAAATTTTACTCTATTTGAAATTCTACGAGAGAAACATGAAAGAGAAACAGAGAGATGATATAGGCAAACGTTTCCGTTTTATCGTCTGGCAGTCTTTCGAAAGCGAACTGCTGCAACATAGAGGATTTGTGGTTCCCTGGTGAGCTAAGTTTAGATCTATCTATTTCTTATCAATACTCTATTTTCAGGCAACCAACTTTATTTCGGTCATCCAGAAATGTATACTGTCAGGCCAACTTGATAATCCAGGAAGGTTGCCCCTGCTTTTAAGAAGTGGAAACTTTATTTCCCCCTTTTAAAACAGAAATGACTTAGAAAATTAAATGCAAGTCATAATCGTGATATATTAAAACAATATGTAATTTAGTCCATGAAACTTCTTCGTAAACCTCTTTCCACTCTTATACCTCTTAAACAATTAAAAGAGAAAAGGGCAGGAGTATTGAATTTACCACAGAGTTATTTGAAAGCGTTAGCGATCCGAGTCTTTGAGTTTTTACATGCAATGCATAATTTTCCATATTTAAACTGTTATAAAATGCCATATGGCTTTGATGGCGTATCCAGCAGGAGGCGGATCCGGCAGACGCCCCCTTCCTTCCGAGCTTTAATAGAATAGAAATTAATACCATTAAAGCGCCGGAAGGAATCACCCTCCCCCCCCCCCCCCTCCCCGTTCCGAAGATTTGGGACTATATTTTGTTTAGCCCCGAAAGTAATTAATTAGAGGAAAGCAGTAAAATCAGAGAAGTAGACTTGTGAAAGTTTGACTAAAATCGGACATAAGAAAATGAGAAGAATTATGATTTTTTTTTTTTAAATAAAGTTGTAATCACTACAGGTATGGGATCTTCAAATTAGCTGAATCGGTAAATGTCTCTGTAATGTAGTGGCGGACAACTTCCCTTTTGTTCCGACACACAAAATGACAAAAATTTAATTTTTCAAAATGTGTATGACTCAGGAAGGGCGTTTACCTCATGAGGACTGAACAAAATATGATATCCATAATAATATAGTTTGAGTAGTGCCTGAAGGAAGAAGGCACTCAGAAGAAAAATAGAAATCAATTGTATTTGTGTACATGCACGACAAACGCGAGAGTTATCCTCGACTATACGTCACAACTCAGCCACCAAACTGCCAATCGAGATTCCCATAGACTTAGCGATCTTATATTACAAACCATCATAATTTTGCTATTATTTGTCTGAATTATTTCAAACTTTCGCCATTCTGTGTATCTTGATTTATGCGTTCATACACATGAACTTATGACAAGGAATGAAATTTCTCTTTAATGTCTTATACTCGAAAAACAGACAGCCGTCATTGCAATGTAAATGGTGTATAAATACCTACTCCAAATAAGTATACATGTATATTATCGTTCATGTATCGAGCACTTTTTCAACCCGAACATTACGCCTCTTCTTACTGTTTTCACACTTGCAAAATTTTGCTTAACCCTGTACTATATAGGTGGGCTTAAGGGGGGGGGGGGGTCTTAGCCCCACCTATAGTCCGGGTTAAGCCTATTCCACTTTCTGTTCAGACTCGTATTTACCAAAGTGGGCTAGCCCCACCTATAGTACGGGTTTAACTAATCCTGCAAAAATAGCAGGGCAAACCCCGCAATTGCGGTGCCAAGCAAATGAATGAGAACAGAAACGAAAAATAGTCCGGTACTACGCAATGGAGCGTATCGCAGCTGGCCAGATGCGAAGTAAGGAGCCCACTGTCCAATCATAACATTCACGATATCCTCCGGGGCTAACGAATAGGCCATTTTCGTAATGTAACTAAATTTAATTTATAAGTCTTTGTTAAGTGCCTCAATACAAATTATTGTATTCACCTGATAAGAATAACAGTATTTCAATAGACAGAATCCGAACTGCATACATTAGTTGTTGCCAGGTTCGACAAACATTATTTTTTTCTTCTATTTATCCTCTTTCGAGGGACTTTATTTGTTCATATAATAAGATAACAGCTATTTACAACAGTGTTTAAATACAAAATTCATGCAATTGTAACATATCATACATAGTACAGAACATGATACTAATGTGACATAATCACTAACTAAAATAATGAAAACATTTGTGTAACTTCGTTTGTGTCGAATTTCTTTTGATTACATTTCATATTGAGATAGGTGCGAATTTCCACCTTTAATTCTTTTATCAAATATAGGCCTACAGCATGCGTACGCATGCGTACGCGTGGTTCCGTATGGAAAGCCGTTGGTGACTTTATTCACGTGCCCCAGACGTATGGAACGCGGCACACGTCTGCTAAATTGACCAATCACCGCCTGTTATTTAGCAGGCGCGTGCAAGGTGCGATAGCACACGCCTCTTACTTTGCCAGACGGATGCGCAGAACGCTCGTAAATTGAATTTTAAGACAACCAATCAAGTCCGCTGTTACAAAGCTGCTCAGCTCAGTACGTACGGGGCCTGTTCGCTATTACAAAACTGCTCAGGTCAGGCCAGGCACGGATCCAGGGGGGCCGAAGGGGTCTCTCCCCTCCCCCGCCAAAAAAGAGAGAGAGCTGGAGAGAGAAGGAACAGAAGGGAAGGGGAAAGAGGAGAGAAAGGAAAGAAAGAAGAGGAAAGAAAGAGGGGAAAAAGAGATCGGCGGGGGGGGGGGCGACTGAGGGCCTTGCCTCCGAAGCTGTTGCCCCCCCCCCTCCCTCCCTCCCCCTTCCCCCTCCCCCAAAAAGAGAGAAGGAAGGAAAGGGAAATTTAAAAAAAGGAGAAGAGGAGTCCAAGGGAAGGGGGGGGAAGGAATAACAAAAGTAATGAAGGTGGATTATCAGTTACGATTTTCTCGCTAACAATTTGTTGATCCTCAGGGGGGGGGGGACAAGAAAAAAGAGAGTAGGAAGGGAAAAGGAAGAGGAAAGCTAAAGGGAACAAAAAAGGGAAAGAAGAAAAGAAACAGTGAAAAGAAGGGGAGGGGGTCAGATCCAATTAATCCAGTCAACAACATGTGGTTCGGCCCGGGTAGGGGATGAAAGGCCTTGGACTCACCCCAGCAAACTTTAAAAAGAGAGAAGGAAGGGAAGGGGAAGGGAAAGAGATAAGAAAGGGAAAATACAAACAAAGAGGAAGAAGAAAGGTAGGGGAGATCAGTTGCGATTTTTTCCCGCCATCAAAGTGTGGATCGGGGCCGCGAAAGGCCCTAATTGTTTCTCCCCCCCCCCCCCCCCTCAGCAAGAGAGAGAGAAGAGAGAGAGAGAGAGAAAGCAAGAAGGGAGGGAGGGAATGGGAAAGAGGAGAAAAAGGGAAAGAAAATAAAGAGTAAGAGGAAAAGAAAAGGGGGGAAAAGATATGGTTTCGCGCTCATCTCGCCTCCCCCAAACGAGACCAAGCGCCAGATACGCCACTAGACACCACTGGCGTACTAATTCGAAGGGGCAGCCTCCCCCTTAAGTGGTTCTCATTCTAATTCGATTTTGATTTGATTTACAAATGTTGTAAAATGACATAAGTTTTTAGTAAATTATACTGTTTTATGAGTTTGTTGGAAAATGACGAATTCCGAAAGTTAAAGTCAGGCGAGAAATATGCTTATTTTGAGGTCTGCACGCCAAGGCTCGCGGAACATAAATTGGTGTGGAGTCTAGGGGCGGACCCCCCGGAAGCTCAGGGGCAATGGGGCATTCATTACGTTCAGATGAGCATATTTTGATACCTTATTAATGACACGAGTAGGTCACTATTGTCGTGGGGTCCAGGGGCTGAGCCCTAGGAAACTCAGGGGCTATCGGGGCATTCATTACGTTCAGATGAGCATATTTTGATTACCCCGGAAACTCAGGATTTTAAGGCATTTTATAACGGTCGGATAAGCATTCAGGGGCACGCCTTAGGGCCCTTGGTGGGTCAAGAGGGTGAAGCCTCCGAAATTCATTTAATTACGGTCAGTTGATCATATTTGAGACTTCATTATTTTGGGACAATGGCAGGTCACAATTTATTTTTCTTACTTTCTCCCTACTTCTCTTGAATATACTTTTTCCAAATATTGGGGGGACCCATGCCCCCGAGCCCCGCTGTGCCGCGAACCTTGGCATGTAGACATCTAAAAAGGAATACTACTCGCCTGACTGTAACTTTGGGAATTCGTCATTTTTCCAACAAACTCATAAAACAGTATAATTTACTAAAAGTTATGTCATTTCACAACATTTGTAAATCACCGAAATCGAATTAGAAATAAATCTGTTATTCTTATTTGGGGGAGTACGCCAGTAGTGTCCAGTGGCGTATATGGCGCTTGGTCTCGCTTGGGGGGGGGGGGGCGCAAAAGCATATGTTTCCCCCTTTTCTTTTCTTCTTCCTCTTCATTTTATTTCACTTTCTCTCCACTTTCCCTTCCCCTACCTTCCTTCTCTCTCTCTCTCTCTCTCTCTCTTTTTGCTAAGGGGGGAGAGGAGGCAAGGGCCTTTCAGCCCCGCGATCAACACGTCGTAAGCTGGATTAATTGCATGTGATCTCCCTCCTTTTCACCCTTTTCTTTTCTTCTTCCTCTTTTTTTCTCTCCCTTATAGCTTTCCTCTTTTCCTTTCCCTTCTTCCTCTATTTTTTTTTGGGCGAAGGGGGGC